ACTAATGTATCAAGCCTCGGTTCAGGCCTGGTTCTGACTCCAGAGCTCCTAACCTTGCCTCAGAAATCCTCAGGGTTAGAAAAGACTTGCACAATGCCAAAAGATCTGAGCCGCTCTTCCAGGATACTAAACCTCAGTGGAAACTGATTTCCCTTCAGAGGAGAGCCGATAGGATCTGAGTCTGTGCAGTCTCCCAGATGCCAGTGGCTTCAAATGTTAGAGCCTTAGAGTTTCTCTTCCTGCCTTCCTGACAGTTCAAATTTCTTTATTGTGTCAACACCACTGAATGGCTAAAGGCCAACATTCCTTCCACCTGTGGCAGACTTCACCCAACCTGTGCTTCTCACAAAGATTCCCTTAACTGCATGCGGGCTTTGTTGTTTTGTTTTGGGCTTTGGGCTTTGGGGTTTTGGTTTTTGTTTTTTGGGGGTTTTTTTGTTTGTTTGTTTGTTTTTCTTAGCAAAAGCTAGGTCCTGTTACCAAAGTGACTCTTAAACTCTTCTCAAAGCTTCATTGCAAGGGAAATGGAACTATTAAAAGACCATTGCTTTATAATTGAGGAAATTGAATCAACTTGTTTGGAGGCATAAGCAGAGGAAGACTGAGCTGTGTTGAGACACGTGTTTTGAGACTAAACAGTGCTCTGCTCTGACTTGGCTCTGCAGGCATCAGGCCTGCACCTTCTCTGCACCACTAGTGGAAGTCCCCAGTGCTTCCCTTAAAGCCTTCCCACTGAGCTTTCCTACCAAATTCACAATAGCTGGTGTTTTGTTCTTTTTCTGTGATATTTGAAGAACAAATGCCTTTGTTTGTTTGTTTTATTGTTGTTTTTGAGGCAGTCTCTCTCTATATGTATATACATCCTGAAACTCAGATATCTGCCTGATTGTGCTGGGATCAAAAAAATGTTAACAAAAATATGCAGAGCTTGAACATGGAATGTCTGTGAAAAAAATACTGATTATTGACAGGTATGGGAGACACACCTGTAATCTCCGTGCTTGGCAGGCTGAGGCAGGAGCATAAGAATTGGAGACCAGTTTACACTATGTAGTTCCTATCTCAGAAATAATGACAGTAATAATAATGGGCAGTTGGAGATGTAGCTCAGGTGGGTGAATGCTTGCCCTGCAATCTGAGATCCTGGAATCTGACCCCAAGAACTGCATAAGCCAGGCACAATGGCAATGCTTGTCATCTCAAGGCTTGTTTTTTATCAAGGTTTGGTGACAGATACCTGAGGATTCATTGTACTGTTCTTTCTACTATTAGTAATGTATTTTGTTTTCTTTAATACAAGGTTTTAAATATTTTTCTAATTGTATAAACTAGCTTTGTTGTCTATGCTGTTCCCACACTGCTGTGCCCAAAGAGCATGGGCTCCCTTTTCCACCCACCAGTTTAACACTGGTCAGATGGAAACATACTGAGCAGTGAGGGAGGGGTGTGTGTGTGGACTGAGGAGCTCCGGGGTGCTTCCTAGAATGATGGAGCCTATGCCAAGAGCAGCCAGTCATAGTTTAGTGTGTTGATTACTGTTAGAATGGTGACACAACTATAGACCATGTAAGGAAAAAAAAATGTTAGTAAATGTTTTGTTCTCTGCATTAAAATGACACAAACTAAACTCAGCTCCAAGTCCTCATTGGCACAATTACCAAGAAGTTCAGTAGCAGTGGGTAATGGACTCTTTTCCTTGTTTGTTTGTTTGTTTGTTTGTTTGAGACAGGGTTTCTCTGTGTAGCCATAGCTGCCCTGGATTTCACTCTGTAGACCAGACTAACTTCAAACTCACAGAGATCCTCCTGTCTCTGTCTTCTGAGTGCTGAATGCTGGGATTAAAGGTGTGTGCCACCACCAACCACCCAGCCCGACTCTTTTCTTAAGACACTTAGAAATAAAGCAGCAAGAGTGCTGTGTTCCTTCTTGGTGTCATACTAGCCCATTTTCACACACTCCTAAACATGATCGTGCTCCCGGCCCTGGACCTATGCCTACAGTAGCAACACAGAGTTTTGGAATACTCAAAATGGAGCCGATGCAGCTGAAGAAATGATTCGAGGTCTGCTGTTAATGTAAAACAAAACAGACAACAAAAGCCAGTAGGTTTTAAATACTTACAAGGATAACAGCTCAATAATCTATAAAAATTTTACATATTGAAATGATACGTGGTTACGATGGAGCTCAAGGGACTATCCCACCTCGGCCTCCCCAATAGTGTAGAGTATAGGTGCATACCACAGTGCCTTGCTTGTAGTGTTTAAGCAAATATTTATTAATTTCATGAGGCTGGAGGGTAGCTCAGTTGGTAGAGTACTTGCCTGGCCTTCACAGGGCCTGGGTCAATCCCCAGCACTGTATAAACTGGGAATAGTGGCTTGTACCTGGAATCCTATCACTTAGGAGGTAAAGACAGAAGGGTCAGAAGGCCACGGTCACCCCTGGCTGCATAGCAAGTCTGAGGCCAACTTGAGACCCAAAAGTACTAATTTCATATTTTAAACATTTTATATGTTGTTGATAGAAAATCTAAACTTAAATATGTGCTTCTTGCTTTTATACAAACTACTTGGAAATAAGTGGCTTTGTTGTCAGTGGTTTTCCTCCAAGTGTATTTTTCTTTGGTTATTATTCCCTTTTCCCGTCATGTGTGTGCAAATATTTAGACACACATAGAAACACATGGGCACAAGCATATATATTTCCAATCCAAGTTACTGCCCTGTAATCCATATAAATTGTTGTGGCAACAAGAGACATGAGAGATGTTAAGTGTAATACAAAATTGGAGCTAAGAGCCATTCAGCTTCAGCCTTTACATACCACAAATGAAACATTAAAACATGACATGGAGAAGTTTACATGGTGACTATTCACCTGCAGTACTGTGGACTTTTAACATTTTGTCCCTTTTCAGGGAAAAACAAAAAAATTATTCATCTACCATTACTGTTATTTGCTGATATTAGTTTATTTTGATGGTAATATTCTATCCTTATGACACTATTGCAACCCAATTGGCTTTACCATCTTGGCTTTAGTAGGTTTAGGAAACAATGGATTACCATCTTTATTTTGTAATGTGTTAAACATTATATGCTGGTAGAATCTAGTTTGTTTCTGGTGGAAAATATTCTTTTTGAGTTTCCATTTTAAATGTGTTTGGGCTAAAACAAACTACTGATGTCTACAAAAAAAATGCTTCATAATTGTATTGGTCTTCTACCTGAGCAGTTAGCAAATGCTAGGTTTAATTGCTTATCTATAACTAGAATTCAGATTATTAACCAAGCTTGTATCAGTCATGTCCAGCTCAGTACACTGGGCTGCATGTGCCTGAGAATAGCTGTGGATATATATGATAGCCAAAACCAGAATCATCAACTTACCTAAAATGGGTTTTTTTGCAGGACGAGTTGTTTTTGGTTTTTGTTTTGTCTGGTAATGGGTTCTCAGGTATAAACTTTATAAATGTCAGTGACCTGTCACAGCATCAAAAGATTGGACACAGCAGCTAGATGAATGGTTCTCAACCTGTGGGTCTCACCCCCTTTCAGGTCAAATGACCCTTTCACAGGGGTCACCTAAGACTGTCAGAAAACACAGATATTTATTTACAATACAATTCTTAACAGTAGCAAAATTACAGTTATTAAGTAGCAATGAAAATTTTATGGCTGGGCGTTGGTGGCACATGCCTTTAATCCCAGCACTCGGGAGGCAGAGGCAGACGGATCTCTGTGAGTTCAAGGCCAGTCTGGTCTCCAGAGCGAGTGCCAGGATAGGCTCCAAAGCTACACAGAGAAACCCTGTCTCGAAAAACCATATGAAGTAGCAATGAAAATAATTTTATGGGGTGGGGTCACCACAATATGAGGAACTGTATTCAAGGGTCACAGCATTAGGAAGGTTGAGAACCACTGTGCTAAAGGATTTGTAAGTTATAGGTGATTCCTGTTTATGCACAAAAGACAATCCCAAAGATTTTGTCTGTTTTTTACTTTATTTCATAGGTTTGTAGGGCTCTTGTAGGGAATCAGATAGGTTTCCATTTGTCTAACTTAGTGGATTTCACTCATGTTTTATTTCACATAAGTCTCTTACGGATGCAACAAGCAGGATCTTGTTTTCAGTCCAAACCGAAGCTACTTTGTCTCTGGCAATTCTCTAATTCTTCTGTACCCAAAAAGATTATTGGTCCTATTGATCATATCACATAATAAATACAAACATGGGTGGTGCCCATTTATTTTACATGTGCATCTGGAATTAGGACTCACTGGACTCATTATAAGGACAATAAAAGAAAGGGTGTGACAGCAAACCTAAAGATGCTGCTGTATTACTAAGTAGCTGCTATTTTCTTTCTACTTACCTGCTTGTGTGTTTATGTAAATAAAAGAAGAGGAACTGTGGTTTGTTTTAAAATTCCAGACTACCATCCCCAAAGACTTCTGTCATGCCCATTCTGACCCCTCAGAAATGTTTGTCACTTGACCACTCCAAAGAAGGTCAGTTGGGTTTCTTTGTGGGGTTTTGTTGTGTTTTGTTTTGTTTTGTTTTGTTTTTTCATGAGCCTCTTATAGAAATACCTGAAGCCATTTGACAGTACCCGAGCTCCTGCTTCAAACTGCCCACAGCTGATTTATCCTCTAGAAACCCTTGTTCTGCTAAGTATCCCAAATCATGTTGAAAATGGGCTAACAGGCAGTGGCAAACTGTGTTCCATTTGGGTATTTGGTGTGCTTGCTTGTCTCACAGCTGGGAGTCTAAGGACACAGACAATAATAGTGGACAGGGTAGAAGACCTGAGCTGAAGCTTCAAACCCTTAACAACAGAAAGAGATGCTGGAGCTGCTGTATCAGCCCAGAGAATGTTTAGAGCGAGTAAAACTGAAGCCCCTTTCCCTCACCCCTCACCCTTTCTCCCTCATGCCTAGGGATTTGGAGGATTGCTAGGCCCGTGAATTATTAAGCATGATGTTTTCTTTTATTAGGTTGGAATGAAGTACAGAAACCTAATCCTGAAACCTGGGGGATCTCTGGACGGCATGGACATGCTCCAGAATTTCTTGCAACGTGAGCCAAACCAAAAAGCATTCCTAATGAGTCGGGGCCTGAATGCTTCCTAGACCAGGGATCCTGGGAGCCATCCATGTCTGGAGGACAAATCAACACCGCCATGTGGTGCTGGCCTGGAGACTGAAGGGAGTTTTACAAATGAAAACTTAGATTTCTATTGATTTGCTTTTGTTTTTTTTTAATTTTAAAAATTATACAGATGTAAATGGAATTATAAATACTGTGACCTAAGAAAAAACCCACTAAAAATAACTGTACTATAAAATTTCATAAAAATGGATTTGATTTCTTTTGATAAAAGTTTCATATGAATGTAATTTGATTTTTTTACTATTATAATCTAGATAATATAATGTAAGAGGGCTAAGAATTTTTTAATTGAATCACAAACATGATATAATTTGATCCTTCTTATATCTTGAAGTTTTATACTTGAGATTTCTGGACTGATAATGAATCATCACATTCTCTCTGGTAAATATTCTCTCGGCGCCCTTCTTCAACTTTGACCCTGTGCCTCACAGCTAAGTGTCAGCTGACCTTTGCCTGCACATCTCAAGGCCAATGGAATATGCCTCAGTAATGCATTTATCTTTTGTACAGTGGGCTCACTGATTCTCAGCTTTCTGTCAAACTTTCATGTTTCTCCACTTAGATTTAGGTTCTTTTTTTCTATCTCTCTCTAAAGTTCACGTTCAGCTCAGTTCTCATGTTTCTAACAAGGGATTATGACCTTGCCTCCCTTACTGGCCACCTCCCTGGAGCAGCAGGTAGACAAGTCACAGTGTGTTAAAGTGCTGAGGGAGAACAGCAGAGTGGAGCTAAGAGCTTTAAACACTCCTGAAGAGGTGGGTTGACATGGAGCGTTTGAGAACAATCGCTCCCTAGTGTTATGTGGGCAAATGAGCTGTGGAGAAAGGCTCTTCAGTAGCCTGCTTCATAAGGTGATTTTGAAGTGAACCTCCAGATCTGTAACTTTTTTTTTACTGGGGCCTAAATTTCCAATTCAGCAGCAGACTAGTAAACTCACACCATTTTATTTTAGCTCTGGGAGTCTACTCAAAAAGGAAACCAAGTAGGAGACTGAGAAGCAAATGTAAATGAGCTGAGAATGGACTTTGCAGGGTCTTTGAGTCGTTTTCCTAACACATATGTGAGGAGTGACTTTGCTGGCTGGGGACAAAATTAGAACCCTACTGTTCTCTAGACCAAGTGGACTTTGTGTTAAATAAAATGTTACGTTGTGTAATAAAGACACACACCAGGGAATGCCAAGGACTTGCATCCAGAAGGAAAGCCCGTTTTTCTGCAGTTTGATTTGGTTTTTGTGATGCAGGGCATCAAACCTCCAGCTTCTTCACCCACACTGGGCAAGTGCTCTGCTCTCCCCAGCTGTTTTTATGATGGTCTTAGAATCTCTGGAAGCTTCTGAATCTTTGCTCCCCATCCCCAATTTTTGTTTTCCACTTTCAGACAAAAGAAAAATGAAAAAAAAACTCTCTTCAGCTTTTTCTGTTATTGCCCAGTGTGTCTCCTTCAGAATAACTTTATCATAAATCTTATTTCACTTGGAAAAGCTAATAGTTGGTGTATAAAAGACTGCACACAATAATAAAGTTAGATCATTGTCCACGAGAACAAACTCACATTGCTTTTGTGTTTTAATGTTAAAGCCTGTATTTACAAGAAAGCAAAGACTCAGTGTCTAAGCCACCCACTCACCCACCAGTGTTGTGCTTATGGGTGGATGCCATCATATCGCTTGGGTTTTTATTTGGCTGAATTCTCCTGGATATTATTTCCTCATAAAATACAGGTGCAGCACACCGGTTCGACCATGTTCCTCCTCTGCTCTCTAGCCTCTAGCCAACGCCTTTTCCACTTGCTGTTTCCTACTACCCAGAGACTGGCCTAGGTTTCTTCCCATGATTTCCCGTTTCTTCTCGTGATCCAGTGTCTGCAGCATTTGTCATTAGAGAAGCAATACACTCAAGAAAGTTCACTGCCTCCCTCAAGAGTCTTAGTATCTCCGTGACATGACACCTTTGTGATTAAGAGCTATGACTAGATAAGCTTGGCAAAGTGGATTCCTGGCTGTTGAGTGTAGAGAGGGAAATTCAACTAAAAAGTATTAATTTCTAAGTAACAACTGGAATTGTTGCATATGATGTTGTTATTAAAACTAAAGACTCCATTACTAAGACAAATGAAGTTAAGTCAAACCCCTTTGCCAGGCATAGGTAAAGCCTCCCTGGGACAGGGTCATGTGGCAAACCAGAAGTCTTGGCAATTTTCTTGCCAAATTTCGGTATCAACTCACTTTTTAGCATGCTTAGGGAGAGACCAGTGGGAAAGCACAAAGCCTTTGAAGAGTGAACTAGAAGTTTGTATCCAAATCAAAAGTCCCTCTGGATTCCAATTTGGTAAGCTCCCATGAGGACTGGAATACTGTGTTCTGTTCTAGGAACCACATTTTGAGCAGGCTTGGGTTAAGCATTATAGTGTTTTGGAGACGGGGGAACAAGATGGTGATGACTTTGAAAATAGCCCTCCAGAGGAAGCTTCCTCTGGAGCGAGAATTCTCTTCTCAAATACTTGCACAATTTTGGAGAGCTTGTGTCATGGCTAATGATGTTACAGCTTAATGGTAACAGTTAGAAAATACAAAGTTCCAACCAGGCTGTGGGGGCACACACTTTAATCCCAGCACTCCGGCACTCCGGAGGCAGAGGCAGGAGGATCTCTGTGAGTTTGAGGACAGCCAGGGCTGTTACACAGAGTAACAGTTCAGGAGCTGCTCGTGTTGACAGAAGCACTCTCTGCTTCCATTTGTGAGTGTTCATGAAGAGCCTATAGCTTCCAGGAGTGTTGATCTCCCCGAGTAAGCTTTGAGGTTTCCTTGTGTAATGATCAGAGAAGCATCACTCAGGTGAGATGTTCATGTTGTGGGTCTTAGAAAGGCAAAGGAGAACTGGGGATATAGGCCAAAGATGGATGTCCTCACACTATAGAGGAACCTTGGGTGATTTTTCCAGCAGCCAGCTGTTTATGTCATTTCTCACATTTTTTGGAAGTGGCTTGATTGCACTTCCTGCTTACTCAATATCATTTCCTTCTTGGATCTCAGAGGGAGTTGAAGACTAGTTAGTATAGTTATAGTTTTTATCACTTACCAGACACAGAAAAGAAACTCACTCAAGAGGTGTAAAGTGGAAAAGTCTGAGAGATATTAAAAGATAATTTGATAATGCAAATTAGAATAGAAAATAAATTAGGGTACAAGACTGTGGACTCACCAAGAAAGAATAGGTGATGAATTTTTCTGAATTTGTTAAACGAAAATGGACTAGACATTGTTGGCGAACTTATTGCCTGTATATATTGTATATACTTATTTTACTTATTGTATATACTTTTTCTTATGTTAGTTGTAGCCGTCTTTTTGTATTAGACAAAACAGGGGATTTGTGGTAATATTTTGTTTATGATTTATTAAAACTTGCCTGAGGATTCAGAAAGCAAAGTAAGCCACAAGCCATAGAAGCCAGGCACACACCTTTAATTCTAGGACTCAGGATTAAGAGATAGATGGATCTCTATGAGTTCATGGCCACCCAGATCTACACAAGAGTGAATCAATCTAAAAGACAATTATAGCTCACATCTTTAATTCCAATATTAGGGAAGAATATAAGACAGAAGCAAGGTCTCAGTAGAGGGATTCATTCTCCAGCCACACTGAGAGGCAGCAGTTTGATACTTGATGAAACCCATGCTTGAACCAGCCCTTTCAGCCTGAGCTAGAGGTGAGAGCTAGTGGCTGGGATGCTTTGCTTTTCTGATATTCAGCTTGAAGTCTGAACCCCAATATAAGTCACTGGGTCATTTATTTATTCATGATACACACAGTGCATGTGCCATGTGGGGAGGGAGCTGGAAAATCATCCAGGAATGTTTTATCCATTAAACCTGGGCTTCGGTTTGGTCTGACTTAGATTGCTGCATTGGCAGAGAGGCTTATGAGGTGCTGCAGAAACTTCATAAGGAAATCAGGGCAGCAGCTCAAGCAGGACAAGAACTTAGAGGCAAGAACTGATGCAGAGGCCATGGAGGGGTGCTGCTTACTGGCTTGCTCCTCATGGCTTGCTCAACCTGCTTTCTTATAGAACCCAGGATCACCAACCCAGGGATGGAACCACCCACAATGGGCTGGGCACTCCCACATCAATCACTAATTAAGAAAATGTCCTCCGTGCTTGCCTACAGCCCAATGTTATAGAGGTATTTTCTCAATTGAGGTTCCCATGTTTCAAAAGACTAACTTGTGTCAAGTTGATATAAAACGTGCCAGCATACTTCATGTATGTAAGACCAGCAAGTGTGCTGTTGCTGAGATACATCAACCCCCGAACCTCATAATTTCTTAATCTAGAACCTCTGATTTGCTTGAGGGTCAAAGAATAAGGCAGAGGGTGCAGATATCCCGTGACTGCCCTGAAATTTATTAACAATTTTTACATGCATGGGGAGGGTCTTTGCCTTTAATCAGAAAAAATAAAATAAAAGCACCATTTTAGACAATTTGCTTTGAACATTTGTTTTTCAATCCAAAGACTCTCAATTACCTAATATACACTGGTCCTAGAACTGAAGATGAAAAATAAAAATTACAAACCCTCACAGTGTGGTCGAGAAGGCAAATAAGTTCACAATGCATTCAAATAAATTATGGTACAAAAGTATATATTAAACATCTTTCTCTGTGTTTTACCCAACCATAGTTTATTCTACATCTGTATCATTGTGCCATAGAATTTTAAGTGATTACCATGCCATCTGCCACCACAGACTTTTCTAACAAAATACCCACCTCCCTTTTCATGGTTCAGTAGAAAGAGTTTTTCCTTGCTGGTTAGACTCTGTGTACAAATGTTCATTGAAAACGCTTTGTGATCAAAGTATTATAAATCAGTAACCATCAACAAAATGGTGTGTGTGGGGGGGGGGTGTTCCCCTGACTTAAATACTATATACCCCAAGACACTGAGGCATCCAATGAAGCCAGAAAGGAGGTATTCAAGATGAGCAGTTTTTAGAGAAGGTTCAGTATTAGTCATGATTCCTTAATCCTTTCTCCCATCAGAGTGAGTAATTTCCATTGCTGCTAAGAGTCAAAGGAGAAGCACTCCAATCCTTCACTTCCTCATTTCGGAGGATCTGTGACTTCCTTTATATGGATAGAACCTTATTAAGTAGGTCAGTGACCAATTACAGAAACTTAACAGTTTCACAGTTCATGGCAAGGAGGAAGACAAGACCTTAAATGTATAGCCCATTTCCTTCTGGTTCTTTAAACCATAAGCTTCCTGGGATTCCTTGGTTCTTTCTATAAGATCTGTTATTTCTTTAAGTAATAAGTTAAACTTTGGGAGAGATTACATGCATCACAACTGAAACAGTTTTCAGTTTCAGTTTCTCTCCCACCGTGGTCTCTGTCTAGTTCTCCCCCAAGGTGGATGCATCACCAGTTCGCTTTACAGCCTCCCAGACACTTTACACAGACAGTATGCCCTGGCCATGCCCTCCAAGGCAGCATCTTATCCACATCGTTCTTTAGTGGTACTCAGTATTTGGAGATCTGCTTTTTAACCATTGGTTGCCTAGGATCCCATATGTAAGTGTGTGGTAATGTAGCCATCCCTCTACTGATGAGTATTTACTAATGTAAATAGTAAATCAGTTTCCACTCGGTTGTTTGTTTTTGCTTTTCTTTCACTGTTGAGGATTGACTCTAGGACCTCTCACATGGTAATTCCCACTGAGCTACTCCCCAGCTGACCTTGTTCCCAGTCTTTCAACATTTAATACATTGCCAAGATTATTTTCAGAGATACATTGTTTTCCACATCTGCCAGTTTGTCTGCTAAATAAATTCTAAAGAATGTAATTAATTCCTATCTCAAAGGATAGACATATTTCAAATATTGGTAGATCTTGCCAAATAGAAGCCATATGCCTTGGTAGTATTTATTAGAGTTGTTTGACACTGAGAAAGTAAAAATAAATGAGGAAAAGTGGTGATTAGCAAATAAACGCCCAGCCCAGCACTATATCCTTTATGTTGCTTTCTTCTTCTGTTCAGAGAGTAGTAGGAGTGGTTGCAGGCAGGAATGTTCTCTCTGTGTTAATCACCGGGTAGGTCCAAGAAGGAATGTGGGACTCCTTTCTAGAACAAAGCCGGCATCAGCAGCTTTGTGTCCAAGACAAAGTGGAGAAAAGCAAAAGATGCTTGTCATCCTTGTCCCCTTTCTGTGGTCTTAAACATTTGCTTGACTGACAAGTGGGACTTCTGTTTTAATGCACAATGTGACCTCTGTTCTCAGTGTGCTCATGGCCCGCTCAGCCTCAATTTCAATTATAAAATTTTCAGCCAGGCACTGTTTGCTTCTGTTCTGTTCAGTTGGCATCCCAGTTAGCCAGTGAATTTCCAGTTGGGATCAGGTGGCATGAGAGAATTTATCACAGCTTTACCTACTATATACCCTTTTTTGTAGAGTCCTGTCATGTCTCTATAGGTGATGGGACGTGGGAGAAAGGAGTCTAAAAAAAACGAGACAGACTATATAGTCTTTACTCAGATCCTCAA